CGACCAAGTTAACTCCCGCGTTGGCGCCTTCCGTTAGATCCACATTGCAAATGTTTGGACGTGATGTCATGCCGCCTGTTCCTGCTGGTGCTGCTGTCCACCGAGTGGCCTCGATCGGCCGCTACGACCATCCCACGCCATTCGCAAGTGTGTTTATTCACCTCTTTGCGCGCCCGTTGTCCGGATCCAGGCAGCTATACGAAAAGCTTTGTTGGCGCATGCAGGTGAAGCCGGGTGTCGCGCGTCCCTTCAGGCTTAGACTTCGCTCTTTCTGCGCTGTCACCATCATCGCGCCGTCACTACCGGCAACGCGGAACCGTCACTGACCCAGATCTTCCGACCCACCAAGACGCCAAACCTCTTCGCACAGCTCACTATGGCGAACCCTACGCCTAGTCCCAAGCGCGAGGGTCTCGTCTCGCCCATCGGTATGGTCATCGAAGAGCCGACCTTTCCGAATATCCCTGGCCAAGAACCCACCACGCCCACGCCCGTCCAGAACACTTCGACCGCAGCCATGGCTCAACCAGCAGGCGCATCATCGCCAGACCAGCCTATCGACGCCCCGCGAGACACCTCCGAGTCGACCCCGAATGATCAGGACTACTTCGCGTCGACGACGCGTCCCACACAGCAGAGATGGGCAACGGAACGGCCGAAGCCCTCTGTGCGACACTCTCTGCTAGGAAGGATGCAGAAGCCCCGCGAGGCAAGACCAGCCGCACCCGAAAGGGCAGCAACAATCACCTTCGACCCCGAATCCGAATCCTCAGACTCCTCAGACGATGAGAGACAACTCCCCCGCAAGAGCCTCGGCCATGCAGACGACCTCACCAAACAAGCAACGCGCCAGCCTCGCGGACGCCGATCGGGGCCCTTTTCTCGTCTCAAGATCGCCAACGAGCATTTCAACACAAAGGGCAGGGTATCCAAGGCGGACGGACGTCTGAAGCTTAGTATACTCGAGGAGAACCATGGCAGTGGATACATCGCAAAGGCTCTGGGCACAGCTTTCAAGAAGAATAGCAATGACGAGAATCAAGGCCCTACGAGTTACGACGATGCCGGAGCTACCAAGATTAGCCCTGAGGATGACGAGATGGAACATGATCCTTCACGAAGAATCAAGCTCAACATTGTTATCATCATCATTGGTTCGCGCGGAGATATTCAGCCCTTCATCCGGATAGGCAAGATTCTGAAAGAAGACTACGGACATCGCGTTCGCATGGCCACACACCCGGCTTTCAAGGACTTTGTGGAAAAGGACTCCGGCTTGGAGTTTTTCTCTGTTGGCGGCAACCCGGCAGAGCTGATGGCGTTCATGGTCAAGAATCCTGGACTAATACCGAACATCGACACCATCAAGGAGGGTGAGATAGGCAGGCGAAGGAGCCAGATGTACGAAATGTTCCAGGGCATGTGGCGTGCTTGCATCAACGCGACCGACGACGAGACGGATAAGACGAACGTGAAAATGAGTAAGTTCCTCCGATGCGTTCGTGTTACACATGACTAATATCAAGTAGTGGGTGATAAGGCGCCTTTCGTTGCAGATGCCATCATTTCAAATCCACCAAGTTTCGCACCCACTCACATTGCTGAGAAGCTCGGCATTCCGCTACACATGATGTTCACGTAAGTACTTGAAATGTAGATTTGCAAGTCAATACTAATACTCTACAGCTTCCCTTACACGCCTACGAGCCAGTTCCCTCATCCACTTGCCAACATCAAGGCCAGTAACGTCGAAGCCACCTACAGCAACTTCATGTCGTATCCGCTCGTCGAAATGATGATGTGGCAGGGTCTCGGCGACCTTATAAATCGATTCCGTACCCAGGTCTTGCATCTGGAGGAAGTGAGCAGAATATGGGCACCAGGTCAACTCTATCGGCTCAAGGTGCCTTATACCTACATGTGGTCACCCGGTCTCATCCCAAAGCCAAAGGACTGGGGCCCAGAGATCGACATTTCCGGTTTCGTCTTTCTAGATCTTGCTTCCTCATTTACGCCACCAGATGAGTTGAAGAAGTTCTTGGATGATGGGCCTCCTCCAATTTACATCGGGTTTGGCTCAATTGTTGTAGACGACCCAGACGAGTTCACTAGTCTGATTTTCGAAGCGGTCAAGTCCGTTGGCTGCCGTGCCCTTGTTTCGAAGGGTTGGGGTGGCTTTGGGTCGAACGCAGATTGCCCGGAAAATGTCTTCATGCTTGAGAACACACCGCACGATTGGTTGTTTCCCAAGTGCAGTGCAGTTATCCATCACGGAGGTGCTGGTACAACCGCTATTGGCCTCAAGTGCGCCATACCGACAATGATTGTACCCTTCTTTGGCGATCAGCCATTCTGGGGTGCGATGGTTAGTAAGGCAAAAGCTGGAGCGCACGATTGTATACCCTACAAGAAACTGAACGCAGAAAGACTAGCGGAGGGCATCAAGCAATGTCTGACTGAAGAAGCCAAAGAGAACGTGAAGAAGATCGCAGACAGCATTGCGAAGGAAGGTGATGGAGCGCTCAACGCCGTGCGCTCCTTCCACAGGTCATTACCCCTCACCGGCGCAGGCAGCATGCGTTGCGATTTCCTCGACAACCGTGCGGCAGTATGGAAGATCAAGAATACCGAGGTCAAGCTGTCCGCACTCGCTGCCGAGATCCTGGTAGAGAAGAAGAAGCTCAAGTGGAGCGAGTTGCGACTCATACGACACTACGAGTGGAACGACTTTGGTGGCCCAGGCGAGCCAATCACTGGTGTCTGGGGCAGCCTGATGTCGTCCTTCTCTGATGCGGCTGCCGGTGTAGGAGGCATGCCTGTCGAGATGGGGAAGAGTATTAGGAAACGGGAGCAAATTAAGGAAAAGAAGCGCAAGCACCATGAACGCCACGAGCACAAGAAGGCTACACTAGCGAAAGCAAACGCCGATAGCGCAAATGGAGCCGAAAATATGACGCACAACAAGAGTGAACAAGACGGATCCAGGCCACAAGCAAATCGCAACGAATCGTCCATTTCAAAGATCACGGAACCGGACGAAGAGTTGGCTGAGGAGCTAGGCCGCGAAGCTGCTTTTGGCTTCAGGAAGACAGGTCACGCTATCGCTCGATTCCCCATGGACTTGACACTCGCCATTACTCAAGGTTTTCACAACGCTCCACGTCTCTACGGAGATGAAACTGTACGCAGACCACCCCGGGTCACTGGGTTCCACTCAGGCACGCGCGCCGGTCGCGACGAGTTCCTTTACGGCGTAAAAGATGGCGTTTGGGGCCTTGTCACCCAGCCTTACAATGGCGCGAAACAGAACGGTGTTATAGGTGCAGTCCGAGGCGTAGGCTTCGGTATTGGCGGCTTCGTGCTTAAAGACATCGCAGCTCTTCTTGGCCCTTTGGCGTATACGATGAAGGGGCTTGATGCGGAATACATGAAGCGGTACCAGCCTACGAACTACCTCCGTCGTGCACGCATTGCTGAGGGGCAGAAGGAGCTGACGATGTTGGAGTCAAAAGCTCACATTACGGCTATCAAGGAGGCTCAAAATGGAGCCAAGCGACCTTCCGAGAAGAAGGAATCCGTAGAAGAGAACGTGGTCATTCGATGGAAGGCTCTACAGAAAACGATCGCCGACGAGAAGAAACAACACAAGAACGGAATTGTAGGCTCTCTCACTGGTCGAGGGGATCATAAAGAAGGCCAACGAGTTGGACGTAAGTCTACTGAGGTCGCCAAGAAGGATGCCAGGCGATCGCAGTCCAAAGGAAGGCCAAATACCCATACGCCCAACGATAAGCCCGGCGGAGTTCTTCCAGAAGACCAATCCAAAGTGATGGACCCGGGAAAAGCTCGAAGAAGCGTTGACGGTAACGCAAGGGGCGGAGGAATGCACCGGATGAGCACTGCGCCAACCACAACTTTGGAGCATGGCGAACACCTCGAAAGAGAAGAGCTGCAGCTTCCTCCAAGATACCAGGCGACTGGTGATGCCACGTTGAAGGAGCACGACACAAATTCGCTTGGTGCAGGACATCTAGGTGATGATGCAAAGAACAAGTCTGATCCTGAGCTTGCTAGCCCAATCACTGAGGCTAACAACTTGGGACCTACAGATACGAAGGGTGGACTGGATGTTGCGGATCGTCCTTCCGCAGATGGCTCCGATGAGACGAGGGTCGATAGCGATCTCACCGATTGGGCTGCTGTAAGGCAGAAGACTGATGCCTTGCCAATGGGTGGTGAGCCGCCTAGGGTGGTTGGTGTATAGAAACATCACTGCTTTGCATCATGTTGCATGTAGCGTAGCGTTGTTGGTCATTGTCGTCTTTTAGTACTGGTTCATCACCCACATTTTTCCTTTCCATTCCATTAGATAGTTTTACATTAAAGGTTCTAATAACTGAGATACCCATATCTGTACACTAGAAGCCTGATCATATCGCACTCACTGCGCTTTCTCCTCCACCCTTTCAAAAGCCGCATACTCAGGTAGCTTGAAGCCATCATCCCTGCTCTCCGTATCTCCAAGCCACGGACCGACCCACTCCCACCTCAGAACCATCGACACCAGCCTCACGAAACCGTGCAAGACTGTCCTTCTCCAAGCCGAGCCCGGATGCATAAACCCCGGTACAAAACGCGACATCACCTGACTCTGCACCACAAAAGGTCGGAACCTCTCCTCGTAGCGTGCCAGCGCAGCAGTAAGACCTTCAAACGTCGTAGAAGAGATAGGGTCGTTAACGCAGCTCAGCTCACCCGCCAAAACATATGCCCCCAGCACCGCAAGCGAAGTCCCCATGCCCGTACATGGACTAGGACAAAACGCGGCATCACCCAGACAAATCACACGACTGCGACTCCACCGCTTCATCTTGACCTGATTGATAGCGTGGAAGTAGAAGTCGGGCGCCCCGGGCATGGCATCAAGGAGTCTCTTGCAAACCCATCCTGCATCTGCGAATTCCTGCCGGACAAGTTCTTCTTGAGCGGCTCTCCCAGCCCTACTCGCTTCCCGCCAAGCGATTTTCTGGGCAGGGGTTGACGGCATGAACGTGAACATCGCGCGGGTTGTACCGTGAGGATCTGGACGCGTGGCAACGGTACGTGATCCTTTTGCGACGAAGATGTCCCACCAGGATGCGTCAAAAGGGAGGCGTGGTATGGTGAAGTATGCAGCGTACATACCTTTGTGTTCGATGGATACGTCTTGAACTGGGAAGACGAGACTGCGTGTTTTGGACCATTGGCCGTCTGCTGCGATGAGTAGGCCGTAGGTGCGTGTTGTGCCATCGCTGAGGAGGACTTTGACGCATGCGGAGTTGTTTTGGAGGATTTGGATTATTGTGGTGTTGAACAGGTATGTTACGTTGGATTGAGAACTTGTCGCTTGGTGTAGTAGTTTTGCAAGGTCGCCGCGTAGGATCTCGTATTCCGAGGTTGGACTTGCTGAGCCGCCTTCTTTGATGGGGAAGGGTGCGAAGGGGGTTCCTTGCGAGTCGATGAACCGCGTGCCGAGCTCTTTGGTGTTGAATTGCTGCACTCGTGGCATTAGGCCCATCTTTTTGATGCAGGTTACGGCGCTGCCTTGGATGTCGACATTTTGGCCGTGGGGCTGGAGGGAGGGTGCCTTTTCTAAGATAGTGATGCTGTGCTTGGGGTTGAAGGAGAGCCAGTAGGCTAGGGCTGGGCCAGCGATGCCTGAGCCGACGATCAAGATATTCATCGTTTTTGATTTCGAAATGAAATTTGGTTCAGATCCCGGACTAGCTCAGATCGTGAAGCAACTTGTCTGGTCGAGACGATGTTTGGGGGTCTTTTGAACGAGTTTGATGAGTGGTACATTGCCATTATGGTAGGCTCCATCGTGATATATATGAGAACAGTAGGTCATTTGCGATAACTGAAGGCACGGCTTCGGGCGCCTTGGAGACTGTGATGAGGTTTCGGGGTTGGCGTGCTTCGGGTCTCGAGCATTCGGGCAACGGCTCGGGGGTAATGAGCTGCGCACTATTCCCGATGCGGTTTCACGCATCTGCCATCATCCCGCATCGCCACTTCCTAAACTCTTGTCATCTTCTTTCGCATTTTGTGCTCACTCCAATGGCATGTAGCGAGACAATAACGACACCTGCCGTTACTTCCATTGAGCGCAGCTGACTTCCACAATGGCAACCACAAGCCTATCCACAAGCGCCCACAAAAGACCTACTTTCTCCTGCATCCGATGCGCTGAACGGAAGGTCAAATGCGACAGGCAGAGGCCATGTGCTGGTTGTGTCAAGAGCAACGTCGAATGCATCTTTAACCCCGTGCAACCACCAAAACAGAGAAACAAGCGCGTCAAAGTCAAAGTACTGACTGATCGGTTGAAACAGTATGAGGCTCTCCTTCAGGAAAAGGGAATTGACCCTGGGAACCTCCCGAACCAGACGGATAGTAGGCCGCAGTCGCAACCTTTGATGCACGGCGTGCCCGATCAACAAGAGCAGCATATTGTTCAATTGCAGACGCCTTCGTCTCTTGAGTCTGACTCGTCTCCGTATTGCGTCCAGAATCCTACTGTTCGTGGCCAGGCACCCTTCCGGTTTGTAGAGAACAGTCTATGGAATAGAGTGGTTGAAGAGGTGAGTGGAAGACCTATGCCATGTGCTGTTACGGGAATCTTATCATCGCGCCGATGCTAACGAGTGTTTAGTCTCTCGACCCTGACAACGATTTAGAAGACTCAAGCGATATCAGCGAGGAGGAATCCACGACGGGTAACTCCGGTTTCGCTGTTATCAGATCCTCCCATCGCAGCGGCAAGCCTCGTCATCCACCGCTCGAGCGCCTTATTCAGCTTTGGGAGATCTTCGTCAGTAACGTGGACCCGTTGACTAAGGTGGTGCATGTACCTAGTCTACGGCCTATGATTGAAAAAGCTGCCAAAAATCTTGGGCTCATACCGCGACCGCTCGAAGCTCTCATGTTTGCTATATATGGCTCCGCTATCATGTCATTGGGCCAAGAGGAGTGTGAGCAACGTTTCGCCAAGTCGCGCGACCAACTACTTTCTCAGTACATTTCGGGGACAGAAGCGGCATTATCTAGAGCAAGAGTGATGGAGACTTCCAATCTTGTTGTTCTTCAGGCTTTGGTGATACACCTGATCACCATCCGCGAGATCTATGCGCCACGCGCGACCTGGACGCTTACCGGCGTAGCTGTTCGCATTGCTCAAAGCATGGGTCTTGAGCGCGATGGTAAATATCTAGGTATACCTCCCTTCGAAACCGAGATACGCCGACGTATCTGGTTCCAGTTGAAAGCTCATGACTCCCGAGCTGCGGAGTTGTGTGGTCTCGCGAAGTACCGAGATCCTGACATCGGCCCTGAGCGAGCCGAATGGCCTACTAACCTCCACGACGATCAGCTGTACCCTGGCATGTCTGAGCTACCCCCAGAATCCAATAGAATTACGGATGTCATCTTCATTGTCACAAGATGTGAGATGGGGAAGTTCGCCGCGCCACGCATTGCAGCACTGCGCCAAGAAGGAATGGATCCCAGGCAGATGAACCTCGATCATTCAGCAAAGGGCAAGGCCGCCCGTGAAGGCTTGATCCAAGAGCTTGAGGATACTATTGAGACGAAACATCTTCGCTACTGTGACCCATCTCAGCCTTTACATCTTGTTGCAATGGTGGTGGCTCGGTATGGTCTCAATGTAGCCCGCTTTTTGATACATCATCCACGAAACTGGGGTACATTGGAGAAAACACCCCTCGAGGAGCGCAAGAAGATTTGGGAAGTCTGTCTCAAGCTTCTCGAGCAACAAATCATGTTGCAGACCAACCCCGTCATCAAGCGCTTTGCATGGAGCGCATCCTACTTTCGGCAGTGGCACGCCTTAATCCATCTGCTAGATACTCTTCGCGCTCATCCGAATTTGATCGACACTGATCGAGCTTGGCGACTCATCGGCGAAACGTACGACAATAATCCGGATATGCTCGAGGACATGAGAAGGCCCATTCATGCAGCTGTTGGCAATCTATGCTTGAAGGCCTATGACGATCATGAGGCACTAATGCGCTCGAAAGATGGCCATTCTCGTTCGCCACCTGGATTCATAGCACGTCTACGACACCAACGCGATCGCGCAAGGTTGCGACGCCAAAAACGCACGGCAAATAGCGGTCATACGGCTGCATCTACTGATCAGTCCGGGGCTGACGTGTATCGAATCGACGGCAATGCTATACCTGATGCCTTTGATGGGTTAATGGACCCAAATCAGAGCTCTTTTCAGGCGCCATTTGGACCTACGCAAGACACTGTGTTCGACAGCACTAACCATTTCGCCTTCTCCAACGACGCCGACGGCGCGTTCTTCGACAGCATGGATTTGGGCGGCACGAAAGATTTTTTGGCTACCGACTACATCATGGACGATTCATCACTTGAGTTTATAGACTGGGGCAAGTTGGACAATTGGCTTGCTCATGCTTCCTGACGGAGGTATACAATCTATCTAGCACTGCGTCGTAGCGGGATGGGAAGACTGCCGCTCGGCTTCCTGGGACGTTGCAGCACCTACGCATATACGTTAAGAACAGCCTTCGCTCAAGGAGCCTATATAGACCAGCCTATTTACAACACACAATTAATGACAGCTGCAGCTATCCCCGCGCCCAGAACTGCTATTATCTTGACGCTCTTCACTCTGCCACTCGCAGTGCTCGGTAAACCAGTCTCGGTTGATGCGATAGCTTGGGTCTGACTAGCAGTCGAAGCGGTAGAAGTCGTTTGCACAGAGCCGCCTTTTGATTGCGTAGTCATCGGGAGTTCGTCCATCTCACGCGCCTCGGCGTAGCATCCGGCGAACGCAATAGTGTTGTTCAGCCAAACTTCGCCGTATAGGGCCTCTCGCATCTCTTCGAGCCAAGTATTAGGGCAGCTTTGAACGACCTCGACGGCTCGCGAGCTATGTGCAGCCCACCAGGAAGATGCTACACTAGCATAGGAAGAGTAGGCCGGAAGGACTTCTTGAGGAGCAGCGGTAGTGAATGCGCACCAACTAGTCCGTTCCGGAAAGGGACAGGTTGGTACAACCGTGGCCGAAGGCGTGATAGTGAGTGTGCAGTCTTCGATGAGTTTGTCTCCGTAGACTAGAAGCTCATCCAGAAGGGCCCCAGTGGGCTTCGGCATATCGAAATATTGCGCGATGCTTTCGGTCGCGCAGTACCAAGGATCTCGGCTGGTCGTTGGCTCCGCGATGGGCATGAGCGTCAGCTGGACTGCAGGCGCTGTAACAGCAGCTTTGATTGGAGGGGTGCCCGTGACAAGAGACATAGTAACTAAAACGTCGCTGAGGATTGATATGCCAAAGGAAGGTTGTCCTTCAAGCGATGTGACAACACAGAGACTTGGGACATATAATGTCGTTATATCATCAAAGAGTAAATACCATATTGATCAATAGGGGTTTCACGCCATGACCAAGTGCAGCTGTGCCACACACCCCTCGGTCCGGCTAAGAAGAAGCAGGGCATTCTTCCAGGGTGATTTGTTCGTCACTGCCTGCCATTACTGTTGGGTGACCGTGGTAGCCTGGAATGTTTGGTTCTTGCTTGAAGCTTGCTATCTACTCAAAAGGTTCGACAGTCCCGTACAGGGGTCTATGACAGGCATCACTAGTCTTGATAGTAGTCGCTAAACTTCTAATAGATCCAGTGGGGATAGTGCTCTTGCAGGGCTGCTTGTACAGCGGCGAGACAATCAATCTTCCGATAGCGCGCCAGATCCGGCCAACCATGCTCACGATAGATCTTCTGTATCGTGACTACAAGCCCCTCTTCTCTATGCCCTAGCGTCGCGTAGATATCGATCACTAGCTTCGGAGTGACGGGAATGAAAGAAAGCTGTCGAAATTGGTCTTTCAGCACCTCGAAAAAATCAACAATAGCCCAGCACCCCGATTCAGCCCTCCACTGAGCCTCGTTTTCAGCCGCGTAGTCGTATGGATCTTCTTGGATTCCCTCGCGCGAAGCATTGTTCGTGATCTCGTTGGGGCATTCGATCCAGTAGACGACACCCAACTCTGTGTCAAGCAAGAAATTCGCATTGTCTCTTCCACCAGTCGTTAAACCAATAACGTGAGCCGGTACTTCGTCAGTGATGCAGGCGCCTTCAGAGCAAAGCTTGAGTGTTTCCCCGGTGCTGGTACCTCGAGATACGTGTTCCAAGTCGCCCTGCCAGTCGGAGAAGACACACCATGGGGCTCCTTGGGGGTTCTCGAAGCTGCTTCCGGGCCCGAGAATATAAGGGAGATGCTTGAGAAGGGCTATTACTTCGTCTGTCTTGTTGACATCTCGCATGGAGTCAGGGGTGACATAGGGCCAGCCTCCTTTGGGCGGTTCAATAACGACGCTTTCTTCCATGTACATTTGGGTAAGAAAGTGGTAGTACTCGCGGACCGCAACGATGCACGCCTCGCGCGAGTAGCTGATATCTTCGAGCATCGGCATGATGATAGCGCCAGGAGGATACTGTTCAGAATCGTGTTGAAGAGATTTGTGGATTGTATCATCGCTCGTTTACCCGACTAGCCGTACATGATCTGAACTCTGCACCACCAACATGTTGGTACTAAACGTCCAACGGTTCTATATTAAAGCCTTCCTACGATCTGCAGCTGTGCCGCATTATTGCTTGAGTCCGGCGAGTACGAGAGATTTGCGTAGCGGTTGTTCTCAAGACGTGGATGAGTCAACAAGTGCAGAACTCAAGCGTTTTCTGTATCGACTTGACAGCAGTGTGTTGTGGAACAATGCTCGCGATGGCCAGATATCTCTTCAATTCGCTCCTTTGGGGCAGCGCACGGATGCAATCCACTATGCACCCCAACAGTACGTGCGTTAGCGAACCCCTTACTGAAGACGATGCCTCGCCAATTGACAACACAAACACATATCATCCCAACCAGTGCGACTGCCTGCTAGCATGTGCAGACTACGCAAACACGCATAGCCGGATCACGTACTTTTCCGTGGACCGTATTGAGCGGTGCGAGAAGGCTATGCTGCTTCGTTTTAGCTGCACCTGACGATCCTCAGACGACGCCGCTGATCCGCGACTGCACAACAGGCGGAGGAGGCAATGAACCAGAACCCATGATCGCAGACGTCCTTCCGGAGAATCAAAAGAAGGCGGGAGACCCTTTTCGAGCGAGCCTCGAGTCTGCGCCAGCACGCGTGAATGGCGCAGACAATTTACGCGAGATGCAACTGACGACTCGCAGTAGCGGAAAGCGCCTGTCAGGCGACGTTGTGGCGTTGCTCAAAGGCATGAGGTCGTATTTTGCGGCGCGCTACAATTGCGACGAGGAGTTGTTTGCGCATCACAAAGATCTAGCTGTCGGCGGCCAGAGACGACTCAGTGCTTGGAGATGAGAGCTGCGGATCTATGCTGATTTTGTACTAGCGCTCTTCGCCTCGGGACCGAACCCAATCCGTCGGCTTGCTTGGGAACCCGTTTACTTCGGAAATCGATGTCGCAATGATGAATTATAATGCCGCCGGCTCGTACGAAGCCCGTTCGATTCCAGAGTTGCTGTCGCGATGATCAATCACACATTGAGAGACAGACGCACAATCTGACTTCTTGGGCTCGGAGTGAACCAGAAACGATATCAGCAGATGGAGTGTACTGTGGTGGTTTAAACGCCATCTCGTTGACATCTCCGCACTACCTTAGCACCAGCACTAATCTCGTGTGAACCTTCCTTAGCAGAGCTTGTACTTGGAGTCGAATGAAGCTTAGCTACTATATGGATTGCTTGCTGTGTGCTTGCGGGCGGGATTGCTTTCGTTCGTCAGACGGTCCAGGTCGGAAGCGCGCAAGGCTGGCCAGATTGTGCTCACCTCAGCTCTGTGATCTCACTAACACAATGCATAGACTTGCCAGACAGGTTGTACGAGACGGAGTTCTCGGCTTCTTTGTTCAACTCGGCTCTCACGGTTTTGATGACTGCGATGCGTTGAGTTTCGGACCTATTCGATCAGCATAAAATCATCGACTCAGCCACTTGGAACGAGAGCAAACAAATCTATACATTTCTGATCTATACTCCTCTTCATCTGTTTTCTATATCAAAGATGCGTTATCAACTCTGTTTTTTGCTCTGCGCCAGTACTACTGCTCACGGAGCAGTCCTCCCACCTCGGCGCCAGAACTTGTTGCCCTTCTCGATTGGCACCACTTCCAGTTCCAGTACGCGTGCATCTGCGCTTGCAGAGAAGCGAGCTGGCTGGGAATACGGTCCCTCAATCGCCGGCAACACTGCATTCTATCCAGCTGGCAGTATTGGTGGACCAGTTGCGAAAGCGCAAGGGGACCGCTTCGAAATCTTTTCTGACAAATTGAGCACTAAAAATGATGAGGATGCTAAGGCTGCCCAAGCATCCATTGTGGCAGTAAGTACACCTGAAAGACTGATTCCGGAGATCTATGCTTAACACACCTCAGGCTGGCGGCTTGAACACTTTGGATGACTATGCGAAGCTGTATGACGGCCTGTGGAAAGAGAGCGCACCAAAAGGTCCATACCCAGGATTATTGACTAACTACACAGATGACCTACTCTTTTCAATGACTCAGCTCTCAGACAACCCGTACAAGATCGTGCGAGTGTCAAAGGACACAAAACTTCCTTTCATTGTCTCAAACGCCGACGCGATATCGGGGCAGACACTGGAAGCAGTCCAATCCTCTGGCCGTCTCTTTCTTGCCGATTATCTGGACCAAAAGTATCAGCCCCAGTCCGCTGGCAAATACGGGGCTGCCTGTCAAGCGTACTTTTACATTGACCCCAAGTCCCAGAACTTCCTGCCGCTCGCCATCAAATCGAATGTAGAAGGCTCCGACCTCATCTATACCCCTCACGACTCGCCTAACGATTGGTTGCTGGCCAAGATGATGTTCAATCTTAACAGCTTCTGGTACGCGCAATGGTATCATCTCGGCGCCACGCACGCGGTGAGTGAGATTGTGTACCTGAGCGCTATCCGGACGCTGAGTGAGGAACATCCTGTGATGGCTATACTGCATCGATGTAAGCTTCCACCCCTCTTCCACGATTAAGACTCCAAACTTATAGTGGTAATGTAGTGATGAAAGATGCTTGGGCGTTCCGAGTCATCGGCCGCGACAGCCTGATAAACCCCGGCGGCCCCATCGATCAACTCTTCCCATGGTCCGGCAGTCAAGCCGGTAACTACACCGACTCACTGTATCATTCGGGCGAATCCAGCTCTTTCCAGGCGAACTACTTCGAAACCAATCTGAAAAGGCGAGGCCTGATTGACTCTAGCTTCGGTCCCGAGATCAAAGCGTTTCCTTTTTATCGGGATGCATCGGTTATCCATGCTGCCATTTGCCGGTTCATGACTACCTTCGTGGACTCGTTTTACAAGGATGCAAGCGCAATTATAAACGACATTGAGCTCCAGGCATGGGTCCATGAAGCAGTACCAGCTCAGATCGTGGACTTTCCATGTACTCTAAAGGACAAGCAAACTCTAATCGACATCCTCACCCATATGGCCCACCTGGTATCAGTGGTTCACGGCACGCTCAACACAAACGCTCTCGCTGCCTCAACTGGTGTTCTTCCTTTCCACCCACTCGCTTTCTACTCGCCATTGCCAACTGCGAAAGGTGTCACCGACATCATGCCCTTCATGCCACAAGTTGACGCTGCCATTGGCCAGATCAGTCTAGTCGTAGATTTCAACCGGCCTGCATTCGTCAATAGCGAGGAAACGATATCGCACATGTTCGACAATGCAACCATGCTAGCCAGAATGGGTAGGGAAGTAGAGGAAGCGGAGCAGGATTTTCGACTGGCGATGAAGAATTTTAGTGTGGTCATCAGAGACAGGAGGTTTGGCAAAGACGGCCTGTGCGGGGACATGCCTTATTGTTGGACCACTCTAGATCCAGACACCGCTAGCTATTGGCTCACTATTTAGGGAACCAGTTTCGCATCACAAAGCTCAGATAGAGTACATGTACATTGATGCTCAAATTCTTGACTTCCTACGCGGTTGCACGCTGAATCCACCTGCCCATCCACTCCTCGTTGACCCTCTTCGCCTCATCCACCAAACCCAACTCAAGCAACAGCTGCACAGAACCCCTAACAGCCGAATGCAGCGACGAACTGACCCAAGCATGCGTCGGGGCCGTATGCTCTCCAATGAAGATGGTGTTGTGCTCCGTCTGATGGTATGCCGGGATATACAACTTATGCTGCATCACATCCGGACGGCACCAAGCAGTCCCCGTGTGTTCGTCCTGCAGCCAACACAGCTTCTCATAGTCGCCCGTGTACAGCTCTCTCGCTTGCTCTCCATGCACACTGACAACAGCATCCAACACAGTCTGCACATATTCCTCGTCTGAGAAGCTCGTGAACTCGTCACTCCAGTGGCCACCCCGGTAGTGTAGGATCAATCCCGGTCGAGACTCGTTGAGGCCGTAGACGGGGTAGTATAGGGCGCCGACGGCTGCACTAGGAGGCGTAGAGTATCCGCCGAAGATGGGACGATCGCCCTTCTCCCAGAAACGTTCCTTGAACAGCAGCGCGACTTTGCAGGCGGATTTGAAGCGGAGGCCAGCTTCGCTGATCGCGCGACCGAGTACGGAGGAGAATTTCGGAAGCGACATGAAGCGTGTCATGGTGAATGGGACTGCCATGATTGTGTAGTCGTATTCTTTCGACTCGTACGTCCTGTTGCTGGCACTGGGATACCACGACAGTTTCGTGCGCGTGTGACCTTCGGCATCTTCGATAGCCTCCAGTTTTCTGATCTTACGGTTGAGGGTGAGACGGTCGCTGACGTGGGGAAGGAAGGCATCAGACAGTCTGTTGAAGCCGCCGTCTACACACTTCCACTCAGTCAGGCCCAACGCATCCGGTCCGCCATCTTGCGCAAGGTTCGAGTTGTGCACTAACTCATCCCAGAAGACGTCGTAGTCGCTCGCTGTCCAGATGGCGTCTGTGACGTTTTCGCTTGCACCAAAGACGTGGCGCATCATGGCCTGCTCGCTCCAGTCGTCAAGACCTTGATCCATGGCTTTCTTGTGTTCGCGCCACACGTCGCGTTGCACGGCCTTGAGTCTGTCCTTTGACTTCAGAAGCTCGTTCATGCGCTGCTTGGTTTCGGTGTACTCCTGCGTGTCCAGTGGTGCTGGTCGCCCAAGAGACGAGTTTGCTTGGATCTCCGCTCGTGTTGGAAGTTGTCCGTTTGGAAGTCTGCCAGTTCCAAGGCCGAGGATCTCGTTGGGGTGATGCTGGACTCATGGGATGAAGTCGACTTTGTAATGCGGATTGTTTGCGTTCATCTCGTTGAGCATGTCGGCCAACTGGAATACCATTTGATGGTCGCTGTATTCGATGGTCTCTCCATCTTTGTATGTAATCGAGTGAGGAAGGCGCATAGGACCCATCTCCGCCCATTCTTGTGTTCCACCAACGTACTTGGTTCGGAACCGTCCTCCGACCCGGTCGCTTGCCTCGATAATCTCCCAGTTGTGCACACCCACACTGTCGAGCATCAGTGCTGTAGCGAGACCAGAGATGCCGGCGCCGACTATCGCGATGGTCGCATTCTTCTTGGATGAGGCCGCAGAGGTGGTTGTGTTGATCGCCGCTACGCCGTCGAACCATGCTCCAAGAGCGTCGAAGTCTTGTAGCAATGGTTTGGTACGACTGACGTCCCTAGTCTCTGAAGATGTTCTGGGACTCGAAATGGGGTTGCTGAGCACCAGCCCTGTAGAGGCTAATGTAATGGTCAGTGACCTCAACATCCTCGCCGCTGGATACACCATGTTCTTTAACACTTTCGACTTGACGAGCTTAAAACTGAAGGATGAACAAGCCGTGTTTGGAACGCCTTGATCGTTTAAGCTTAATATAAGACACCAATTACCCGCGAACCATGATGGCCAACCACCATGCACCTCCACTTGGCGAATGGACACACCGCGCATCTTGACGGAAAGCAGCAATCCAAATCAGTACTAAAAACATTAGAGTGCCATCACGGTAGGCAGAGGACTGTGTCGCATTCCAGCTCTGACAATAACATCCCAATCAAGCGAAGCCGGGCGGTCATACTCAGCGACCCGAACGCGCGCCCCGAAAAGCTTTCAACATGTTGTATACAGCAGCGTCTTTTATCTTCCACTCATGATCACGCGCTGCATCTTTGGAGTCGCCAAACGTGTATTTCATCTCATCGTTCTGTTCAGTTGCCTCTTGGTTCTTGTTTATGTTTCTCGGCGGTACTTCGTACCGAGTTGGGGTGAGGACGTGGACTTGCAGAGTGGCGCTTTCGACATCGCGGATGAATCGTGCTATTAGCTGTCAGATCTTGTAATGCATATCGGATGAGGCGAATGGGTGCATGCGAGAAGATGGGTAGTCGTACTCCATGGTATACCCAACTCTTCGGCCTCATTTCGGGCTTTATTCCGTGCGATGCAGCGCTCTTGCAGCTCCCATTCTTCTAAGGACTGTATAGGTGCGACGCCCGCCTTGGTCTTAGTGAGGTCATCGAGGGATGGAGAATGCAGACGCTGCGTTACGGCTCTAGAGATGAGTTGTCGGTATTGTACTGTTTCCAGGCCATCATTTGTGTTTTCCTTGCGGACTCTCGTATGGGCATCATTGTTGAAGTTTGAGGGTTTGGCTGAGCTCAGTTTTAGGAGTGTGATCGTCATGATGCGGCGTCTGAAATAGGCGACCGTAAAGTAAGGACATGACGTCGTACAGAGAGAAGGTGAGTATATAGCTGCTGGAGTCAACACATTGGCGTTTGTGGTATGATGAACTAGACGCGCCGTGTGCTCATTATTCAATGAGGCGATTGCACCATCGTATGCCTGAGTATCGGGGTAACTAGTACTTGCTCGGTTTCTTCACCATCCTCCTCTTCACGTATATGCAACACAAATGCTTCGTATTTACATCTTTTTCTCGTTCAAAGACCGTTCCGTCCAGTATATACAGGGTCCTCAATACCCTACAAGCTCAGCCCATCAGCCAGCACTGCACCGTACCAGATCATGGCACCCAAGCCCACCATGTTGACCAGACTGCTGACACCGTGCAGAATGCCGAACTGCTTGTTCAGGGCCTGCATCTCCTTACTATGTGGTCCAGCATCATAGCTCTTTTTCCCATCCCTCGTCTCCTGATGCTTCCTCAGACCCATGACCTCTGTTGTCTTGGGTCCAACGTAGACCCAGTTGACCAGCGCGGTGAGAAACATTGTGGTGTGCAGCCAGGAACTCAGGTTGTCGGTCGCTGTCGGTGGAATCGGCGAGGAAGAGAGGAATGGTAGCAGGGACGATGCTCCGCCGCGTGGGTACGTGAGCAGCATGACGACGGGAGTGAGGGTTTGTAGGGTGAAATAGACGGGGAAGGTGTGCTTCTGGAGCGTGGAGAATTGAGGGCGAGGGAGGACGCGGAAGGCTACGATGCCTGAGACGAAGGACTGGAAGAGTGTTGAGCCCAGGAGAGTGCCATAGCTGTGCTTGTGTTAGAGGATCTTGAGCGTCGAGAGCTGGTTAAGTAGCTTTGTACCTGAGCAGATGGTATGTCGCCGGGTTCTTGAATGAGGAGAATGACATGTTGACGATTGTGGTTTGTCAGTCAATCACGTTGTCTGTGAGAATGAGAGCAGGAGTGAGCAGGAAACTCGGCGTTTCAGAGCGCCACGAGCAGCAGCCTCGGCAAATGATGATCTCACGACATGTCGGAGCCATGCGGTGACCCTGCATGCTACCCGTGCGCTATCCCATCTGCAGCCTGGCGCGTCTGCCCCGCTAAAGATTTCGCGAGCCCCTCCATTGCGCATCATGGCGTCGTGCGACAATCCTTCAGCCCGTCTAAGGAAGGATCCTAGCCCGCGCCCGACCAGACCGCCGTACACCGACACTCACAATGCTACTTCCTTCGCTGATTAACCTCCGCCGCCCAGCCAACACACCCCTCGAGCCTGAAGACATCTTTGGGTCCTCCCTCGGCGGCATCTTCACCGACGATACACAGAACCAGCATGGCGACGATCCGAGCACGGTCATTTTGTATCGCAACGCCAAGTTCGGAGAGCAGGAGATCAGGGTCGCGGATGTGAACGGCGAAGAAGAAAGAAGAAAGTTTGCACACTACTTATGGAATGCCGGCGTCATGATGGCAGAACTGGTCAGCGGGCGAGTGGAGGGCGGCGATCTGGGCGCAAGTGGCAAGGGGCTGCACGAGGATGAGGAGGGCTGGAGAGATGGCGCATGGTGGACAGACAAGGAAGAGGAGAAGAAGTGGAGTGTCGAGGGCGAGACGGTGTTGGAGTTGGGTGCAGGTGGGTCGGGCTGAGTAAAGAGAGGTGTTGAAAAGAGTACTGATGGACTATTTGCTCGCAGGCGTAGGATTGGGCGGAATTCTGAGTACATTGGCGGGCGCGAAAGAGGTACGTCCATGCTCAGACTCGGATTCTGCATAGGCTCCAACTAACAGTCCGCTAGGTTGCCATTACCGACTACCCTGCTGCTCCTATCCTCGATACCCTCAGAACGAACGTCGCGAAAAACGTCCCAGCGCATCTCAAGCCCAATGTGACCGTCGAAGGTCATCAATGGGGCTCCATAAGCACATCCTTCGAGACCTCGCACGCGAACCGCTACACGCGCATCCTTGCTGCAGATTGTCTCTGGATGCCATGGGAGCACGAGAGCCTTGCCAAATCGATGCTGCACTTCCTCTCCAACGATCCATCTGCACGCATATATTGTATCGCAGGCTTCCATACGGGACGCGCCAAAGTCGCACCGTTCTTCGAGGAAGTTGTGCCGGAGCAAGGGCTCGAGATCGAGGAGATCTACGAGATGGACGTCAACGGGCAGCGGCGGTCGTGGGCGAAAGAGCGCGACGGCGGTACCGAGAACATGGGCGAGCGGAAAAAGTGGCTCGTTCTCGCGCGGATAAGACGGGCTGTTCGGCAGTAGTAATGATGATAGTTCTTCCTCTCAGCAGACAAAGCGCTGAATCACACCCTCTTGAAGCACAGCGTAACAACACTGCTGCCTGTCTTGCCTCCAAACGTGAAGCTGGGGTACTTGACCTTGCCCTCAAACTCCAGCTCTCCGCCTCCAAACCAGCCCTTGAGCTCTTCTTCTGTCCAATTGCAGCTTGTGATGAGGAACCTGCCGCCCTTCTTCATGAGAGGCTCAACCTTTTCCCTGTAGCCCTCGCAGATCCTACGACCTTGCGCGTCTTCTTCTTGCGACAGGCAGATGGCGTCGAATGTGCCCTTGTCCAGTACGACATCGAAGCCAGCGCCTAGCCACGCGCCTGGTGCCTGCGACAGAATATCCCACTCATGGAACGCAATGTCCTTGTAAGAGTCATCCTTCGCGTCGCGAATCGACGTGGCAAGCGTGACGCTCTGCGCAGAGTAGTCGACGCCGACCATCTCGCCATTCCACTCGTCCTCGCGCAGCGCAAACAGCAAATGCCCATTTCCCGTTCCCAGGTCCAGGAACCGCGCCGCGTTGTGGTCGTCCCCGTCGTCCTCTTTGTGTATGTGGCCCTCGTCGCTGAGGTCTTCAAGGAAGGATAGCATGCGCTCCTCGGCGCCCGCGTCGCTGAACCATATTGTTCCTTCGTCGTCGGCGTTTGCGGCAAAGTTTTGGCGTTCGGTGTTGTAGGCGGCGTCCCAGTAGGATTTCGTGCCCAGTTCGCTGGGATCGAGGTGCGTGGGTGCGGTCATTGGCTTGAGGTTCGAGGAGGAAGGAGCGACTGCAGTGGGTGTAGGGGACGTGGGTGATGCGACGCTGTGGCAGAGAATAAGGTTGGTAATGTTTTTGGAGGGGCAGAGAGTTGGTTCCTGGCTAGACGCTCGCGCATTGCGCTGCAAGCGAGGCGGGCCGCCTTTGGAATGACAAAGCATCTCAATTATCATATGCACATGGAGGTCGTTGAAGAGAGATACGCATGGATTAAGTGGAATTGATTGATTTGCTACCCGAAGTGTGAAGTCATCCTTGCAGTTGTCTATGCGACTTACATCGAGCTGCTCTCGCAGTCTACAAGCAGGTCTGCGAGTACCCTTACACCGGTCGGTCGCTGCTGCGAATGACCTCACCCTTGTAGACTGTCCGATAGATATGGCCGAAACCTTGAGGGTCTATTTGATACCGAGCATTGATCCGCTTCCAATAATCGGTTGAAATCTCTTTGATCCAAACCTCATCTTTCCACTCTTCTTCCCATTCGTTTACTGTCCAGTCTCGTCTCTTAAAGAAGAAAGTGTCCTGATCCCACATCTCACCCACGTCTCCAGTGAAGGTGATGTTGATTGTACCGTCAATCACCGCGCGAATAGTGTCAGAAAACCCATCCGGTAGATGCCATGGCAAGCCAACACGGCATAGAAAGCGACGGTCGAACAATCTGGACGTTGGATCCGTATTCTTGACTCGGCATTGCTCCAGCATGGCTTCTTGCATGGCTGCCGCATATTTGAGAATGTTCCAAGCCTCGAGAGATTCGCGCGAGTGACCATCGATGACGAGCCGAAAAGAGCCTGCTGGCATCCCATGGGTATGAAGTAGGTAGACCTCCATTAGCCATGGAATAGTAGCATCTAAAACATCAGATCCAGCAATGGAGTCATATCCGGCATAGAGGCTGTCTGGATGGCCCAAAGGTAGGAGGTTGGCCAGTAGATCGATGTGTCTTTCGATCCGAAGCTTTGAATTCGCCTGGCACAGAGGAATGAGACCTCGTACATGGCATACGGAACGCGGCATCGACTTGAAGTCTTCGTGGAGGACGAGTTTACGAAGATTGCGCAGCCTTTTGGGGGGGAATTGATACACTGCGACATGCGTTAGAAAGCTCATACCGTGCGAGGATTCCTGTATTACAATAAGAAGTGCTGTGGTGAGGGACTTGGGAGGTCAATGAGTTGGGATAGCACTTACAAACGTCGATCGCTACTGCAGCAGCTGAGAAGTAGTATCTACTGTTGCAAAGTTGGCGAGGATCCTCCACATGGCACCAGTTGTAAATCAAGGTCTTGTCTTCTTCTGGCCGGCAAACGAGCCCTTCCATCCTGGCAAGCTCGCTGTCCGTGGGAATGGACCAAGGGGTTGGCCTCCAATACAGTACATCGTGTAACGCCCCTTCCACGAAGATGTTGTACTGGCCCATACCTCGAAGGTTGCCCACCGGGCAGATAATGTTTCCAAAGATTCCTCGTGTGAGCCGCGCAAACTTGGTTGAATCTCGACTCTTCGCCATGTCGAGCGCGAGCACAAGAGCTTCTACAAACTCTTGACACTCATGATTGTCCAAACTCATATCCATATACTGCGATAGTATATTGATATTTCGCGTAACTGCTTGCTTCAGAGGTCCTTCGAGACAGTCTTCGATGACTGGATAACGAGCTCTTATTTCAGTAAGATCTGACGCCTCGAGCAGTTCCGCGACACAGATCAGCATGTATTGTCTTTGAACTTGAACCATATCAAATACTAACAAGTACGTCAGTATAATTTTAAGCTCATTCATCGACGTTCGACGCTTACTCTGGCAAAATCGAGCGGCTCTTGACCGGAGTTGCTGGAATTCTGCGCCATCGTCCGCAGAGCAAAGCGTGCTGAACTCGACGTTCTGGAAAGCAATGTGCTGCATCTCGTCTGCAGCAATCTTGCAGGTCATCATGAGACCAAGACCCTCCGTCTGAGCTGAAGTGTCGGAGTAACGCAGTTTTGCCGTGTCCTTGTCGTACACATATCGTGGTCGACTCCGAGCATAATAGTCGTAGATGGTATTCCGTATTTCTCGTGGGAGCCGGAAAAGCGGTGATTGTTTTTGCCCGAGAATGTACTTCGTCTTCGGTGTCGTCATAAAGGGGAACATATTCCAGTGCGCAAAGTTATTGGGGCCTCTCTTATTGAAAGCCATCTTGGGTGTATCAGGTGCCATGCAGATGGTGATTGCGACTGCCCGGCATCTTATACTGCGCCGTCATATCTTTTCTGGTTTTTGCCGATGACTCCTAAGACGGATGCACCGTGGTACCAAACTATGGCTTGCTGGTCGTAAGCGGATTCATCGGGTTGAAGTGTGTGCCCATTGGCTGATCGCCTGGGCACCATTCAGCTTCAGTGCAATGGCTTATCGGTGGCTGTAGAATTGATGTCTGAGTGTGAGCGACATGCCCATCAACAGCAAGACTGTATTTGTTGGGTGATGATGATTTTACGCGGCGCGAACGAACAGATGGATGGTCGGTCTGGTGCGGACCGGTTGGCGCGAGCCTGCCCAGGTGGTGCCCAGCCTCTTCAGGAGCACGGAGCTCCACCACCCAGGCAAACATCGCGGCTCACTCTCCTCCTCAGACCATGACCTCACTCGCTCGTTGAGTCTGATCTCGCAAACGTCCTTAGGTACTCACGTTGCAAGCGCTCTTGCCGACCGCGCGCAATCTCAGCGATGGCTTTCGCCCGAACTCACCCTTGAACCGCGACGAAGACGAGAACGCTGTCCACGCATAATGAGCTCCGCACGCCATCCACACTCCTCACCCTTCGACATTACTGCCTACGCACAGCCGGTCGAAGACGCGTAACCCGATTACGGCCTACCCAGGCATTTATAGCATACCATCAACCCGGGCTCACGGTACGACCCGCCCTTTCCGGAGAGAGAGGCAGACCTATACATTATGACAATGGGGCAAAGCGGCTTATAGTATAGCTTTCAGGAATATGGCTCGCGCTATAGTTCTCTTGCTTCTCGTAGAGGGGATTGTGATCTGAAGGCATCAGGTCTCAATCGATACCATATTTCAAATCCATGTCGGTCGCAGCGCAGCTGATACGACGACCCGCCTCCCCAATGACGTGCCATGACGGCCGTACTTCCCCTTCTCCATCAATCCACCGATATGCTGCGAGAAACAGTTCCTACCGTCCAGCCGATTCCGTCGACATACCGTTGCTCAGCGCCCGTCCACACATCCTCCTAACCGTTGTTACTACTCTCTTAAAGCCCGCCGGCTCGATGCTGTATCTCGGATGTAAACGTCTCCAGAAGTCCGTGTTCAAGCTCAGACACAGCACTGTCACGTGCCATTGATGCTCCCAGGTTTCAGGGGTGAAGTGCTTGTAGTGCTTCAAGTTCAGAGCTGTGGCTTCAATCTCGACTGGGCTCATGCCCGATGTCAGCCGCATGATTGAGTTTCCTTCTGCGATACTCCGAACGTTGGCCTCAAATGTTGATGGGAGGTTTAACAAGGTTTGATAGGGACTCAAACCTGTACCATTGTAGGGCCTGGGATGATTATGGGATGCGCGAAGCCATTTTTTAGAGACTTCTTGCAGGGCTCTTGCGCGCATGACGACCGCATTCCAGACCCAGTCGCCTTCCGCCACACTGTTGTCGAAGAACAGTGAGAAGCTCTCTTTCGGCATTCCAAGTGTGTGGAGTGAAGATACTGCTTGTATCCAGTGTTTCATCGCTTCCAGACATTCCGCGCCCTGGATAACATCACAGTCGTAGTATTCGCTTCGTCGGTCGTCTTGCCCGCCGGAATGCACTGGAAGCATAGATTTGAAAAGACTGATGTGTCGAGTAATCCGGAGGTTCATATTCTCGCGACAGAAGGGAATGAGACCTTGGGCGTGGAGTTCTGGATTGGAAACACTTTTGAAGTCTTCTCTTATCACGATCTTGCGTAGTGACATGCGTACTCTTGGATTCATCGTTTCCACTGTGCAGCAGTGTCAGAGACATTTGGCAGCATTTGATATGAAAAACTTACAGTATTGGATAGCTACTGCTGTAGCGGAGAAGTACCACTTAGTATTCCGTGCGCAATAGAAGGTATGCATGCCTCCCACGGCTCTGATTGATAATAGCGCTTCGATAGACGCAAGTTCCTCATGGCACGGTATATGCCATGGCTCAGGCTTCCATCCGAGAATCTCACACAAAGATCCCTCGGAAAAGAGATTTCCCCGTTTTGGTTCATGTGAGGCACGAAGAAGCTGAGGACACTCATCTCCAAAGGTCTGCACAGCATGTCTTGCGAAAGCAAAAGGATTGCGAGCCTTGGCGAGTTCAAGTGCAAGTTGGAGAGCTTTATCGAAGTCTCCATTGGCAAACAAAGAGTCGATATGATTGTCCATCTCTTTCATATTCAACCCATCTGTACATCCTCTGACAGACCAGTGCAAGGGACCATCAAACCAAAACGCAAAGTCTTGGTACTCTTGAGCAAGTGTCGCGTAGTCGGCCCTCGTCAGTAATGAGGCGGTGCAAACAAGCATACGGACTCTCTGGATTTGGCGACATTTGAGAACTACCATCGGAAAGTCAGTCTAAAAAGTCACAGTTGGCAAGACACTTTTCACACTCGGGGTTTACGTACGAGTTTTGAAGCGTCCAGCCCGTGAGTTGAGATTCATGTACCCATGTCCGTCGTCCACGGAGCACATAGCGTGGAATATGACCACATTGCGCTCGAATGCCAACCCCTTCATCTCAGCCGCCGCGATCTTACAAGTCCTTATCAAGTTGATGTTGATGACCTGTGGTTTTGGCGATGTGGATGACGGGTGACCATCCATCATTTTCCGGGTTTCCGGGTTGTAGAAGTAGCCGTTATCGGCAACGACGTAGTAATCGTAGATTTTGTCTCGGATCTCGCGTGATAATCGGAAGAAGGGCGATTGAAGTTGGTTCGATCTCAGGTTGATGAACGGCCATTTGTTCCAGTGCGCGAAACGCGTAGTAGGGGCTTTGTCCGACATGCTTGAAGAATGAAAAATGCTACAGATGCTGCTTCATATGTACTTAAAAACTCGAGATGATGACTCTCGGTTTGACTGTCTTCATACCTTGACTCACATAGGCTTGATTGCGATGAGTCGCAAGCACGCTGTTAATTTGGTTCGGAGTCAGGGTACCACGTGGCTTGAGTGGTTTATGGTTCGTCTAGGATGACTAGAGGATCTACTGGTTTGGACGGTACGATATGATTCAGTCTCTGTGGGAATATTGCGCAACGAAAACGCCTCAAGCGCCTGTTGGACGACGAATGTTCCAGGATGGCCGTCGCAGCCTGGTCCTGATTTGAACTCCATCGAGAAGAGGACCTTTCCCGTGCGCGACGGACTCTGTACACTTTTACGTCCCGCTTTTGCCAGTCCCACAGCGACCGTACGGCCAGCCCTAGATGCGCTGGATAGGATATTGTATACAATGACCCGTTTTCGTACGCTGTCAGTCCGCACACACGGTGACCGGTTCCTATCCTACCTGGGTACAATAGAGAAGGGCAGAACTACAAGTGAATGGGTATGGACTATGCTATACTAGTGTTCGCATACCACGCGCACTACGAATGGGCTCTGCGATGGGTTGCACTCCGTAAATACAGTATGGGGGCAACGCGGCCAGTCGCCTGATTAAAAAGAACTCGGTCAAATCTTACAACCGCATGTTATCGGTTACTGCTGAATTTAGAACATGGCTTGCTATGGAAAAGTCATGCGCTAACATGGTAAGCGTTCCTTGAGATAACGCTCTGAAATCTTCGGCCAGAAGTTCGAGACGATGCCCTGATCGACGGTCTCATTCCAGTCTGTCTCCCACTGCAATTCTGTCCAATCCTTCCTTTCGGAGAAGAAGGTGTATTCGTCCCAGACCTCGCCCACGTCTTCATTGTACCTTACGACCGAATTGCCCTCACAGATATCGCGGATCGTCCTTGCGAATCCTGAAGGAAAGTCCCAAACTGCAGAATCGCCATCGTACATCGGGCGCAACTCCCCTGTGGGCAGGTCTGTACCGCTGAGTTGCAACTGCTTGTGTCGGGCCTGCTGCGTAGCGGCAGCATATTTAAGCATGTGCCAGAATTCTGAAGATTCCCTTGCATCGTCATCTACAACAAGTTGAAATGACGGCAGAGGCATCCCAAAGGAAGGTAGCAGAAGTGCTTCCTCAATCCATGGAAGCAGCACTTGGAAACAGTCTTCACTGTAGATGAACTCGTCTTCGTAGCCAGACACATAATCAGAGCCTGGTGGAAGGAGATTTGTAAGCAAGCTGATCCGTCTCTCAATACGAAGTCGAGGATTCTCATGACAGAATGGGACAAGGCCGCGCGCATGGCATTCTGGTCTGGACACGGCTTTGACGTCTTCATTCAGTACGACTGATCGGAAGTTGGCCCTGCGTTGTTTGGACATGCTTTGAACTGTCGTCAAGTTAGTAAATAGCGTCTCGCAATCGCCCACTGTGGCCTCAATGGATTAGGCGACCTTAAAATAGATGCTGGATTGAACTCACAAAACTCAATCGCCACAGCGGCAGCAGAAAAGTACCAACGGTAACGCGCAGCATGGAAATGTTCTGTGATATCGGGGAAGTAGAAGACGCCTTCGTCTGTAGTTGGGAGCAAATTGTCTGAATCGCCAGGCTCACAAATGAGTCTTTCGAGTTTTGACAACTCTTTATCTCCCGGGATGGACCACGGCGTAGGATGCCAGTGATATATGTCGGATAGAGCTCCCTGTACGAATAGGTTGTTCTGCACGAAACCTAACGTACTAGATCTGATGGGACAGTCACCGAGACCGAAGGTCTCACGTGTAAGCTCTGCAAATCTTGACGGATGTCGGTTTTTCGCTAGTACTAGTGCATGTTGGAGAGCATCGCTGAACGACTGGCTAAGGACTTCTTTGCAACTGTCATCCGATGTACCAAGCTCGTCCGTTCGATGTGTAACTGCCTGGTTCAGAGGTGCGTAGAACCAGTGCTTAACTGTGGGGAATCTGCTGTCTATGTCGACCAGGTCGTCGGGGTGTAGTAACTCAGCAGCGCATACTAGCATGCGACATTTCTGTCGCTCGACATACTTCAGTACTGTTTCTCTATTAGAGTTCCTTCATAGGTAGGGTAACCAAGAATATTACTAACAGCATCTAAAGCGCCCTGCCCTCGAACGAACGTTCATGTATTCTTTCCCGTCATTGAATGAACGCTTGGGGTAGAAGTGGATTTTTCCGATGGCACTGCCTCTCATCTCTTCTGCAGCGATGCGACATGTGATCCGTAGACCTAGCCGAACGACTTGCTTAGGCGATATTGACGGCTTGTGGTACAGCAGTTTATCGATCTCGCTGTCGTAGTGGTAACCGTCATTCTCGAGAAGGTAGTATTCGTAAATAACATCTCGAACCTCTCGAGGAAGACGAAAGAGTGGCGACTGGAGTTGAGCGGAGTAATATTTAGTTTTCGGGGCGGTCATGAAAGGGAACGTATTCCAATGCGCAAACTTGCCAGACGGCCTGGCAACGGGTGTAAAAGCCATGGTGATAGATTTGCGAAGCGTAGGAAAGGAACGTTCTTAGCACACATGAACGAGGGGAGTATTGTGACGTGGCCATGACTCCTCTTGATATTGCCTGGTAAGGTTATCAAAACCGTGGCTCGCACAAGTTCGCGGCGAACCCCTACCAAAGTTTAGGATGGCGCCATGACTCATGCTTGAGGATGGGTCCAGAGAGCCACAACGTTCTATGATTAGAGGCCTGATATGATTTAATCACTTCTTATCAGCAGATGATCGACGTTGACCGAAAAAAAGGTTCAATTCAACCTATTCATGATATGACGGCAGAAGCGGTGGTGGCCGCCCCACAATACGGAGATGATGTGTACAAGACTTCTAACATACACGATGCGTGTGAAGTGGGCTGACGAGTATTTTGGATACAATGAGTTCAAGAGCTACTTTATAAAAGACACCGCGGCAGCTAATGATTGCGCGCGGTGACCGTTTTTGCTCAAACCTCTGACCGGTTATTGTACTTGTCGAAAATAGAAGGCCAGCAGTCCGTGGCGATAGCCTCCGTAAATGTAACCTTCACTTTCCAATCCTCTTCCCAGTCATCATCTGTCCGATCTTTTCGCTGCTGAAAGAACTCTTCCTCATCCCAGAGCTCACCAACTTCCCCATCGTAGTAAACCATAGATTTACGTTCTGCGATGTCTCGAATTATTCGTGCAAACCCTGCTGGGGAACCCCCAGACGCCAAAAAGACAATCGGCATAGTGTTTTTCTCAAGCTACGTAAGGAACCCCAAAGACTAATGACGTGGAGCCTGACTGCAGCGTATGCAAGTTTACTCAGTTTTGAGGCTCATGGCAGTACTTCCTGGTAATTGACGGCCACCCTTGTGTTGAGATTACTCGTGACATTTGTCCTTCCCATTCATCTGCCCAATCATCTTCTGTCCAGGCTTCCCGCTCCATGTAGAATTCTTCCGAATTCCAGAGCTCGCCAACATCCCCGTCATATCGGACAGGAGACTTACCTTTGACAATGTCTCGAATCATTTGTGCAAACCCTGCAGGAAGGCTCCATGATCCGGTGAAAGGAGAGTCGTAATCTAGTGGTGCCGGTCTTGCTCTCGGCTGTTTCCCGTTTGCTCGACACTGCCTGAGTAGAGCCTCTTGGGTAGCTGCTGCGTGTTTTAGTAACTTCCAGGCCTCCATTGATTCTTCGCAATGTCCGTCGATGACCAGCTCCAAGGAATGTGCTGGCATCCCTTGTGAAGCTAACGAAATGGCTTCTTCAATCCAAGAGACCAGCACAGTAAGGCAATGGCTGGCGAGAATGATATCGCGTTGATGAGCTGCTGGTTGAGAGAAGGAAGCTGGCAGTAAGTTGTTCATAAGGCCGATTCGTCTGACGATGCGAAGCTTCGGACATTCGAGACAGAAGGGGATAAAACCGCGACCATGAGACTCTGGGCGGGATACAGCTTTGAAATCTTCTCTAAGGACCACGGTGCGCATATTCTCTCTCTGTTGTTTCGACGAACGTTGTACTGCCTATGTTAGCAGCTTGTGCTTGTATAAAGGTTCAGATCGGCTTACAGAAGTCGATTGCTACAGCCGCAGCCGAGAAATACCACCGCTGACGCGTGGCCCATGAGTGAGCTGCTATATCCCGAAAGCAGCGATCTCCATCCTTGGTTATGTGCAGGTCAACATCCGAGTCTCTGGGTTGACAGATCAGAGCCTCAATGTTAGATAGCTCGCCGTGCTCCGGGATGCACCATGGTCTGGGCTGCCAATGGACTATTTCGGGGAGAGCACTCTCCACGAAAAGATTGTGGCGTTTCAGAAACATTGCGGTGTGACGAACGGGGCAAGCACCTACGCCGAACGTGGCACAGGCCAAGTCCACGAATTCTGAGGGGGATTGAGTTTTTGCAAGAACCAACGCACGGTGAAGAGCGTCGCTAAAGTTCTGATCAAGGATGTCTTCGCCGCCCAATTCGTCTGTTTGATTCGCGATTGCTCTCTGCAAAGGTTCGTTGAACCACGTCTTGACAGTTGGATAGCGAGTGCATAACTCCAGAAAGTCTTCATGTTTCAAAAGTGGCGCGACACGCACGAGCATGCGACATCTCTGGCGCTCGACGTAAGTCAATACTAAGGTAATGTAAGTGCTCAAAATGGGAGATTAGTTGATGTGGTACCTACAGCACTCGAAACGGCCCGCCCGCGAATGGAGTCCTTGGTATCCGGTTTCGTCTTCCATTGACTGCGCTCCATGGAAGTTGAGCTGAGGAAGAGCAACGCTCCTCATCTCCTCACTGGCGATGCGACACGCTATTCGGAGACCGAGTCGTATCACCAGTGGTTTGGGCGTTGTGGAAGGACTCTGATAAAGGAACTTCTTGACCGAACTATCGTAGTGATATCCATCTTCCTCAGACAGGTAGTACTCATAGAT